CAATAGAAGCTAAAAAAAGTTATTCTCTTGAAATCCCAAGCAACACTATTTTTCAATAAACATCGGTTTTCGATAACCGATGAAGTGCTCGACTCTTTTACATTAATATATAGTATATGGACTAAAACAACCCCTCTTCGGTGAGATTTATTCCCCCTTCGGAATCGCTTTCGCATTACTTCGAGGGTCTCTTTTATGTTAGCATTGCAAGTGATTTTCAATCTGCTTCCACACCTCCACTTTTTCATCGCATTTTCTTGATGTCTGCTTTATATATTAGCCTAGTTTCTAATTCTCCTATCTAGGTCCAATTTCTTCGCTTTGAGGACTTCAATCACATATGACTCTATCCTTCGCCAGCTATCTGCGTTCGCGCTCACCTTTTCCACTATATTTTTGGGATTTATTGACTCAATCTGGGCTATTATCTCTTCTAGAAATGTTAACCACCTATTACAGTAAGATAACATATATTATATTTATTATATTATATTATATATTATATTTATTATATTATATTATATATTATTATATTATATATATTTATATATTATATTATTATATTTTATTTAATAAATAACTCATATTTATTACTTACATTCGCGTGTGGCTATTTATACTCAGAATTATGTTGCTTTACCAAAATAGTGTCATTTTTAAAATAATCAACGTTTCTGTAATAGAAAAACACTCCAGAGAGGGTTGTTGATTATTGTTGTAGTAGCAGATTGTGAATCTAAATTTTGTTTCATTAAAAAGATAATAAAAAGATTAAAATATTAACATGATAATATATAAAATATTAATATAACTTTTATTTTTAGTTATATATATAATAGTTTTATTTTGTTGAATCTTTTAATTTCTTCTCAATTGTGAATTTCTTTTAACTTCTTGAACCTAATTGAAATTTATTTTTGATAATTAATTTTAAAATCAATTACTTTATAAATTTTTTTGATTTCATATATCATTTATCAAAAAAACTAATATTTTAAAGAATTTCTTTTTACAAACTGTTTTAAACTTTTCATACATATATTTCTTATGAATGTTTATTATTTTTTCTAGTATATTTCTAAATAAATTGCACTTGTTTAACTTGGGAATAAAGTACAAAAATCTAGTGTTTTGTTTTATTTACTGAAATAATTTTGGAAAAATTTGAAATTTGTTTGTTTTCAAGTGAATTGAATATTTTCTATTTACATTTCAGTTGCGTCTGGCTACTATTCTCTTTTTTTCAGTGAAAACAAGTTTTAATATTTTTCTATTCATTTTATAATTCCGTTGATATATACACATCTGCACTTCAATGAAGACGTCTTTATGGATAATGACAGACATGTACATACTCGTATATTATGTGGAATAGAGATATTGAAGGGAGAATTTGTACTAAATCTTTTATTAAGTAAAATAAAAGAGAAGAAAAAATCGTAAATATAAACCTATTTATATAGTACGTATGCATATTAATAAGGAACGTTTAAATCTTTTGTACAATAGAACATTTCCATGGAAACTATTGATTTCAAACGAACACCAGCACTGAAATACTGAGAAAATATGTATTCCGAACAATTGATTGAAAGGTTATCGAAGCGAATTGTTCAAATTGTAAGCAGATTTTATATAATTTGTTACTATTTTAGTTTCAATAAGAATTTTATAATAAATACTTGAATATACATAAATTGTGTACTATTATGTAGGTTAAATTTGTTTTTTTTTTTATTTTATTGTAGTAATAGTAGTATTAGCTTTATTTTATTTCATTTTAAATTTGCTGTATTAGACAGAAATTTATAACAATTATATTATGTATGTCAAGCTCACAGCTATGGCATTTTAGCTGTCTGTATTTTATATATATTTTAGTACACGAAATGGTACGATTCCAATTTCCCGGACAATGAGATTTGAGGATTTACTGGAGGCAGCAACTTTTTCTATTAAACTATATGCCACTATATCTAAATACTTAAGATATTGAAGTTTGAAGGTTTAAATGTTTTACATTGATTTTACGAACATTATCCATATAAATAAATTTATATATTGCTTATTTCTATATATATTATTTCTATATATATTATTTCTATATATATTATTATATATATTATATATTATATATATAAAATAGTTGTCATTACCATAATCCGTTATCAAATGAACATCCCCGAGAAATCGGAATCGTGACCACAAATCAAAAGTATATAAAGTTTAAGTATTATTCCATAATATCATAATTACCATAATTTCATAATTATGTATCTAACGTAAAATTATGTATCTCATTCCACGATCCAATGTCAGCGTGTTCTGCATTTTGTGCAAATAAGCTTATTTGCATATTTATCGGTAATCTACTAGTCTTTCTCCCTTGTAGTTTCCACTCAGAGTATGACCATTATATCTATGCTTGTAACTTCTATTCAAATGTCATTATTGGATTATCTTATTAGATTTTCATGATCCATCATTTCTTCACTTTTATTACTAAAGGTTTCGTTTAGTGAAACCTTCGTAAAAGCATTATTGTCTTGGAGTGTTTTCATATATATTAGAGGATGATTTCTTTATATCCTTCCTAAAATTCTGAAAGTTTTTTTAGATCCAAAAAAAAACAACCTTCCTATAGGAAGGACGGATTCTATTTTCAATATTTACTGTCAAAAAAAGTATGCTCAAAGAAATATTTAGTCAAAAAATCTTCAATGTCTTAAAAATGGTTCAAAAACTCATTGATGATGATAGGTTTAGAAATTTTGCTCGTTCAAAATCTATTTTGAAAATATCTGGTTATTTTTGTGGAAAACCTAAATTACCTAAAAATTTTCTTATTTATTTTTCGTATATAAATATTTTATTATCTTGTTAACATGAGTTTTTCTTCTATCAAACATATTTTCCTAAATTTTTACTTTTACTTTAAACTACACTATCCATTCGACAATATTACTAAAATGTATTAACGAGTACTTATATAGTCTAGGAAATATATACATTTGTTTGGAAAAAAGCAACAGGTAACCTATATACATCATATAAAGTTTTTAGCGAATTATTATTGTTATTTCTAAAATTATATTTATTTAGATAAAACATTTTTCAAGTTATCGCGAGCGTCTTAATTTTATGTGAATTCTTAACCTAAAGAAATATAATAATTCTATTTATAAAAAAAATTAAATATACAAAATAATAAAATTACCATCAAAATTATTTATGTATGTTGCGTGCAGAATTAATTTATATAATTTACACCTTCATTTTAAAAAATCGTGCTTACATAAAAAAGTTTTTATTTGTTAAACCAATTATTTCAAATTATCTTCAATTTTGTTTAATATTTTGAGTTTAATTTAAGTAAATATTTATAAATATTAGTATTTTACTAAAAATATATGTAACTTAATGTAAACATATAGTTAATATATTTATATGAATTTAATCACAAGATGTTTCTAAAATAATCACGTATTTTATTGTATTATAATATTAATGATCTCATTAATCAATTAAAAGAGATAATTAGTTTTCATATATAAAGATATAAAATATATATAAAAGTTGTACTGATTTTCAATGTAATTACTAGCACTGTTTCAGTAACGAAAGTCAAATAGTACTGTTATTTAAAGCACCATACTGTATGTCTAACTTAAAATTTGGTTTTAATGGCCACTGAACTTATTAAAATTGTAAAAACTTACTACAAAAATGTTAGCATGGAATTTCCTTGATTTTTCACTTGCTCAAGAAATAAAATTGTAACATCTAGAGGAGTTAAAACCGATCAGTATAGTTTAAAAGCTACTGTATAATGTAGCATTTGGTTTAAAGACGGAATGGGCTAAACTGTCGAAATTCTAATAGCTACAGATACATGATTATCAATATTTTTTGGCACAAAGTTGAAGAAGACGGTACCAAATGTCACACGATACGTCCTGTTTTGGCTTAAGCGTTGAGCATTAGTTACTAAAATCATATAATTTATTAGACTTAATTCCTTTAGCTAAGTTAAGCAAACGATCTTGACGTGTCAAATACAAACATCCGTTAACTTATGATCAAGTTATTTTGATTTACCGACAAGCCATTGCTAATTATTTCAAAGAAATCTAGTACTATTAGTTGTTTAGTACATTTAAATGATGCTATATTTCAGACCTTATAGTGAGCTTTAAGAAATAAATTGAAATATAAATTCAATAAAAATATCAATCACAAGTATGTCTTATTTATGTTTAGTCTCGGAATTGCAATATGGGTAACCAGTATACATAAAAAATAAATATTTTGTAGGTATATAAAGCAAATTTTGCACATATATATTTAATTGTAATTAATAGAAGGGACAGTATATAAATTATTTTAATTCAAGGTGAATAAATAGTAAAAATTCATCAAACTGGAACAGTATTTTTTTTCGCCAAAATAATATAATTGTAGCTCATTGTCACTAGCAATAATAATTACAAAAAGCACAAAATAATAATGTCTAATAAAAAGTCAAATAAAAATATTCAGTTAATAAGTACGGTTTGGTATTATTTTCCGGTTATGGAAAGTTACTTGTCATAAAACGCCTTAACTTATGTGGGTAAATAATAAAAAACACACCTTCAAATAAATTTAATTATGAAAGGTACGGTTTTCTACAGAGAATATGTATTTACTTCAGCCCAAATGTATGCAATATTTTTATGTTATAAAAATGTACAAGGTTTGCATATAATATTTTCAATTTGTCAATAAACAATATAACAAATTATACATAGAATTAAATTAATATTTTATAAAAAATGAATCGATACGATTATAAAATATCTTAATTGCTATTACATGTCAACAATCAACATATACAATACAATACACATATTTTCATATATAAAGTATATCTATTAAAAGAAAATAATTATATGTTTATTAATTATTTTATTTCTTTTCTTAATGCACTTATTCAGTTTTTCTTCGATTTATAATTACAGATCAACCAGCAGTGTTGGTGCACTTGCCTACGGAACTTCGGATAAATGCAGTACTGCATTGCAAAGCCATGCTGAAGCACACAGTGTCAATTGTTTGAATACGCTTCACAATAGTTCTAGTCCAGTACAAAAATCTGAAAAGCCAAGCAAACATAAACGACAATTGAGTCAACAACTTTCGATTTCGGGTTCCATACAAAGTGGGAACTCGTCCACGAACTCTTCGTTGAACGAAAATTATCAAAATTTATCACCACTAGGAAGTCAAAAGAGTGAAGCAAGGTAAGTGAAAATAATTATAATGATTATATAAAGTTTTTTTTTATATTTATATGTAAAATATTATATATATAATGTCAATATAAGCAAAAAAATTTTATAAAGCTACCATTAAGACCTTTGAATAACCTTAGACAAGCTAAGATTATTACTAGTTATTATAGTTTCCAGAATATATTCACAAGTCAAATATTGAAATATTAACATCATATATTTAAAAAAAATATTAGTATAGAACTAACAACATTTCGCTATAATAAATTTTTAATATATACGAACGGTTTGGTCATGTCGAAAAAAGATATTACTCGTGAATGAATATATAGTATAGCTCCGACATGAAAAAATTTTGATAAATCGATTTTACCACACTTTAGTCAATTGTTCTAAGAACTTATACTCTTAACTAGAATCGTAAGAACAAGCATATATATGTACACAATATATAATTTCTCAAATTTAAAATATTTATTAATACATTCTATTGTTGTCTTTGTCATTTGAATTGTTGTTAGTTTTTCAAACGTTCTTATGTCTTTTCTTTTTCTCTGCATAATTTATACACTTGAGTTGCATTGAGAGATAATTAAGTGAAAAAAGCAAAAGCAACAATGCAAATACAAAAACTATGTACGTAAAACAAAACTACAAGTTTGCAATAACAACATTGTTGTTTTTTGTACTATAGAAACTTCTACATACAATTTATTTAATTGAAAATTCATTTTAGTGAATAAATAAAAAATGCTAATATATTTTTCACAAATTTAACATGTTTTATGTTAGTAATCTTAAGGCTGCATTTCCACTGCATTTTTGCTCTCTGAGTTACTGCAATCGGCACTACGAGTAATATATGCAAATAAAGAAAGCCTATATACGCATGAAAATTTGTATTATGTCATATAAATAAAGTTTTGACATGGTCCACAATCGATTAAAGCACAAATATACGTTTTATATTTAAAAAATATTATCATAATGTGAGTAAGAATAATGCAGAAAAACAATAATTTTTAAATGAAAACATTGGACCGTACGTGAGATACGAAATAGTGATAACGCTAAATACAATTTTTTGGTTTCTTTAATAGGTTTATTGATTGGCTTTGATCTGAAAATATACAATTTATACATTTAATTTATGAAATAACAAATTTCGATCACAAAATTTTAACCTGATAATTTCAATGAAAACAAAAATAATATAAAAGTGTAATAATAAAAAAGTTAGCTCAATAGTTAATAATTAGCTTCATAATAAGGATATATGTGTTTATATTAGGAATAAATTATCTATTTTAGTCAAGAATTGTATTGGTTTAACAATTTCTAATAAAGCATTTTAATTTTTATTCCTGAAAACATAAGCTCCATATCTTTGCATTAGGTCAACAAATATTGGGCGTATAAAACGACATTTAAAATGAATTCTTAATATATATCCATTAAAAAATATGAACCAAATAATTAAATAAATAAATAAATAAAAATATTAATATATTTATATTAATATGAATAAGGTTTAATAAACCTTATTATATTAAAATCTATATATTTAAATGAATATCTATATTTTTATGACATTATATCCATAGTTATTAATACTTCAAGTTGTTTTGCTTTTTTCTTACTGAAAAGCTTTTTTTTGATAAAAAATGGAAAGCAAAAAAAATATATTTATTTATTTTTTGAAGAAATAAGAATCCAATATATTACATAGTAAGTGTTAATACATGTCTACGTACCATTATTGACAATAAAGGCGCTCAGTGAAAAAAAATGTAAATATAGATTACTTGATTTCATTTCAAAACTAAAGTTAAAGATAGTGTCAAATGACTGTCTCTAAGTACTGATCAATAACAGTTAATAATAGTTTATTTAAATTTAATGAATTGCTTAAATTATGATCTCATTTTTGCCATTAATTTTATAAACTAATTTATAATTTTTTTGTTTAACAATACCAAAATTATTATAAATTAATAAGATCTATATAATTTTTTTTTACAGTTGTACATTTTAAATATATAGTAAAGAAATAGTAAAGAAATATTAATCAATAGTAAAAATAAAGGAAAGAAATTTCTTATAACATCAAATTTTAGTACTTTTAATTAATTGTATTATTTTAGTATTGTTTATATTTATTATATAAAGAAATTATGACAACAATTTAATTACTTCACATATTGATTTCTCTTAAACACCTGTTTTTAAAACAAAAATATTTAAATTTGAAAAACTTCTCCAATCCAAAATTGTTAAATCTTTAAATAACAAAATTTATTATAATTAAAATTTTGCGAAATGAGATAGTATTTTTGCCACCTGGCTTATTACTTTGATATCAAATAGATAAGATTACAAACCTACATATAATATATAATTTATTATATGTAATACTAAAGGTAGTTAGCGATTGTAAAAGAAAAAATTTATTTATGTGTCTGTCTTTAAAGCAGTGAACTAGTGTTATTATTTCCCCTTATTTTTTTTTTGTTAAGTAAATATGACTAATATTCAAGACTAAAATAGATTATAGAAAAAAATCATTTATTAAACTATTATTAACTCTTAGTTTTTATTTATAAAGATATGGAAAAAAATATTTACATATGTTTTAAAGTTTTTATCAAATGGATTTCTGATATGATATAATTTTGAATTTGAATTAAAACTAAACATATTA